TGCTAACTATTTATTGTCATGGTCTCCCAACAGACATTCTACTGACTATAAGGCTGGCCGCACACTAGACGATTTTCAAATCTTAAACGATTTTAAAACCATGGGAGACCACAGACATGAAGACAGTTCAACTGATTTTTAGCCTTATAATCCTCTGAATGCGCACACTAGATGATTAGACCAGACCACGGGACCACACACTTGATGATTGTAGGAACGATTTCACAGTGACACGTGATCTCACAGACACTCGCGAGATCAAACGTGACTAGAGAAGAAAAACAAATAGAGGACAATCAATGTTGTCAGCTGGCTCTCGTGGCGCGCGTTATGTTTCACAGTGAAAAACAAAGTACAAAAAAGAATATGGGTGATGTTCTCTGCTTTCATGGCATGTTTGTGGCTGCCAAGTTTCAGGCTATAGAAGCACGCAACATCCGGAAGGTGGCGCTTGCACACTCTCATTGGCTATCACGGATATCACGATGTTCATATTCAAACGTTTGATATTTACGATTTGAGTTTGGGGACGCTCCGTCTCGATCGGAAGCAGATAAATAATCGTAATGACACCACACACAATAGAGGATTTTTTGGACAAAAAATAGTTTGCGACAAGCCGTGAATCGGGCCACACCCCTGATCGTTCGGGGATGCAAATCGGGCTTAAAATCGTCTAGTGTGCGGCCAGCCTAAGTAATTTGCAAGTACATGTCAACTTATTCTAACCCTAACCCTACCAGTCTACTAATACTCTACTAATACTCTAATGAGAGTTATTAGACATGTAGGTGCAACGTTACTTAAAGTCAATAGAATGTTCAAAAGGGACCATCAAAATAAAGTGAAACCAAGTTTCTCTATTAATGTTTAATAACATCAATACAAAGAAAAAAATCCCACCCTATACTTTTTTTTCTTTCGAGAAGCTGTTTCACTTGTATATATGTCACAAAAGGGAAGAAAAGACAATTACAACTACTATTTCATGCCAGCTTTAACATCACCATCATCGAAAACCATGATACTATAACCCAAAATCTATTCACTTGCATTGAGGATAAACATTATTTGAATTATTGTCTGCTGAGAACGTGAAACCACTGAAATTCAATTGCCATTTAACCCAAACACTGCATACTCCTTTTCTCTTCTTGATGCATTTACAAAATTGCCAGTTTTCCTGTCATAATATTTTATATATTGATGGACCCATGCAGTTCATACATAGTGATTAAAAAAAAAAATTCTGATTTTAAGGACATTTGTACGATAAGCAATATTGCAATATGAGAAGAAAAAAATCTGTCTCCTCAAACAAAACAAGAGATAAACTGCTTTGTAATAAAAGCAGACTACAATTTGAAATGATCAAACTGTTTTTTATTTTAGACACAGTGCAAAAGTGTGTTTATATAGTCTGGTCCCGATGGATTTTTTTTGACATATTAATAGCTAAACGCGAAAGCCAGAGGATTCCCTGAATCATATTTACATTTACATTCCAGACATTTGACCTCTTCAGTGAAACATTTTCACCGGCTGCTCCACAGACAGCATGAAATGACAAAATGTGCAAGTGATGCCTCGCACACCCCAAACCCCAGAGCACAGAACATTCTCAAATCTCATTCTATCTGCCAAGAGCGTCACCTCTCACTGCCTCTCCATAACAGCGGCAAGGCTCCAGCCAGGCCCCAGTCAATATCACAGAGCCATTTCACATTGATTAAAATCCTGTCTTGGTGATATGTGGAGGATGCACGCTTTCAAAATTCAACGCGAGGGAGATTAAAAAAAGAGTCTTTTTCCTTGCTCTCTCGTCTCATTAAACGAATCGAGCTTGTGAATATTTCACGTGCCAGCTTCATTACTGAAGATGAATCAAACGAGAACACAAGAGTTGTATAAATAATGGAGGGCTGTGAGTAACTGTGGGCCTGGCTTTTGTATATACAACAGGTGGCCCTCAAAATAAATGGAAAATATGGGGAGGGGGGATGAGTCATGCTGGAGACCCTGGTCTCTTGAATTGAAGGCCCAGCAGTCCTCTGTGTGCACATGGCTCACACTTGGAAATTAAACGAATAACACCTCAACATATTGATTCAGCTGTATAGGTCCAATGTAGTACTAGATCACTTCTGGCCATGACAAAAAAAGAGCTTTTGAGTTATATTACTTACATTTTTAATACAAATGACTTGCAAAAATGTATTTGATTTAAAAAAATTTAAACGGGAAAAAAATATCTGATCCGTTTTAGCTTTCTACTTCAAGGGCATTAAAACTGATTTTGCTTATGTATTAAAGTAAGGGGTGTTCATGTGTCTAAAAAAACTAATGCATGGCCTTGAGTGTCTTATTGTATTTATAAAGTTACTACAACAGTAATATGATAAAAGTCACCAATCAGTAATAAATAATTATAATTTTAAATTATATTAATCCGAATAAACTCATACAGTTCTTTGTGTTGTTGTTAATGAAAAGTAAATCTATTAAAAATGGATTAAATCTATTAAATTAAATCTATTAAAAATAAATAAAAGTTAAAAATTGAAGTATTAAAATGACTAAAAATATAACAGAAATAAAAATAAATGATCTAAATAGCTAAAGCTAAACGGAAAAAAACAACAAAGACAAAACCATACACTAAAATTACTGAAACTAAAATTTGAAAACTGATATAAAATATAAAAATAAAAGCCAATTCAAAATATTTCTAAATTGGTGCTTAAATATAGAATTCAAATGATGCACATTTACAGGTGTGCATTTATTTGAATCAGATTTCAAATTGGGAACTAACAAGTTTGTATGAGAAATGTAAAAGTCATGCTCAAGTTAAACTGGATAAAACAAAATCACTAGTACTATAAAAGGCAAAAAAGTGACTTACCTCTACACTGGCAAATTAGACAGCCCAACTCATCATGTTGGAAGCCCATTGGACAGGACCTGTCACATGGAAGTTCAGGGCATTTCTTACAACGGCAGGTGTCACAGCCATGCTTGTTCTTACTGATAACAGAAAACAAGATGGGGAAAAAGAACAAGAAATCTTAAAAGAGACATACATAGATAAATACATACATATTGCAGTAAGTTTTCTCTTATTAAAAAATACATTTAGATAACAATATCATACTTTCAAAAATTATTTTTTATAAATGATGCATGTGCAAATAATGTAGAAATGAAGACTCAAGACATATCAGTAGTCTAAGTGACCATTCACACAGAACACGTTTTTGCACTGTGCTACTTTTCCATTGATTTCCATGTAAACAGACACCAGACGGATGTCTTTGACCTCTGCATTCATGTCTTATGCATCATCACACACACATGACATGGCAATCTAAAAATAAAAATAAAAATACGGAACTACAGTCAAAATAAGTCAAATAAAAAGAAAAGGCAACCATGTATTTTTCTGCAAAAACGTGTTCTGTGTAAATGGCCCCTAAAAAGCTGGTTTATTTTGGAGTGTAATATGTGTATATAGTATATATAACAGAGTGCACCTTTAAAATAACCCTTCAAGACATATGGACTTCATAAAGAGTCAGTGCACACTTTGTCATTGGCACATCAAAGCTAGGCATTATACACCAGGTGCCAAAGACATGGTCCAATGTCATCTGTTAACACCGGAACAAAGTGAGAAGAAGAGAGAGAGAGGAAAGAGAGAGTCTTTGTTGACCTTACTTGGAGTCCTGTAAGCAGATGGCACATTAAAGACGACTAACCAAAACGACCAATCAAAATGCTCCCTGATGGCCAAGGCACCTTCCTTGGAGAACAAACTCATCCAGGGCACACTGGCCTGAACCCCAACTGCCCATCTCATACACACACACATACACATGCTTCTTCCCATCCTTCATCCCCCTATCCACTCTTATCGGATGAATAATAGGCCCGAGAAGCAGCCATGTGCAGTGTGTATTTGGTTTGGTGATAAGAAGCTATCAGCTATGATGTCAGCAGTAGGGAATATCAATATTCTTTGTGCAAGAGGAGGAAGTCTGAGCTAAGCTGCATGCATTATTCAAGCCACAAGCATGATCCTTGGCCATAACTTTGAGAGGGCATAAATAGATATCTAAAATTAGAATCTGAGATGCAAGCATTTGCACTTGTGTGCTCATTCATGACGGCAGAATTGAGGTGGGAAGAGACAACGATGGGCCAGGGGCCGAACTCTGATAAATAAAGACTCCTCTTTATTCAACCACACCTGAGGGAATGAGTCTCAGATAGGACACTATAGAGATGCAAGACCAGTCAAGCCGATGCCTCATTCTCTGCACTTGTCATAACAGTCTTTATTATATTTTAAAGGAACAGTACACCTAATTTTCCTTTAACATTTTGGGAGTTGTTTCACCACTTTTTTAATATAGAGACAGTATTCGGAGACAATCACGGGGCAGACGAGGGGGAATGGGTTTGGGTCGCGACGCAGGCCAAATTCGAACCTACATTTCCCATATGCGGCACAGCGCATGTCCGGAATATTTGCACCTACTACATCACAACTCCAACCTGAAGGAGAAGGGAATCTCTGCAGGCATTCCCCAATAAGTGGGCATTTATCAACTGCTTAACTCAGCTGGAAAAAATCATGAAGCTCCACTCGTAACCCCACCCCAAAATCTAGCCCCCAGTGGGATGGAGCAAATTGGGTAAAGCAGTTGAAATACGGCCACAGACTGGGAAACGCCCTTAACTGATTGGGCAACAACCTCTAGCGTACTGCAGAGACCTATACTCAGGGGTGCACATAAGTGGTGCGCAGGTGCGCATGTGTGACCAAAATAAAAAATGCGCTGGGTAAATAAGTTCAGACTGCTCATTTGCGCACCGACATGGTTGACAGCTGTTAATGCACAATCACCGTTTTAGATCGACTAACTGTAATACTGTATAAGATTTCCATTCGACTGAAAGCATAAATCTGCCAGTGCTAAACTGACATTTCATTTACTGACGTGCTTCACTCGGCAGCGCTAAAACAGACAGCGCATATACTTACTTGTCGGCAAGCCGCCAAAATAAAAGCTTGCTGATTTTAGGTTTGAAAATTATGAAAATTCATATAAAAAAAAGAAAGAAAATGTAAATATTAGCATTGTATTTTTAAGTTTACTACAAAATAATTGTATTTTTAATATTCACTTTTTATTTTAAAATATAATAGTATTGTCACACTCTTTTTTATTATTGCTATTATTTTATTTAAAAATACGAAATAAATAAAGTGCAATAATACTATCGTCACTATTGTTATTTTATTTTTATAGTTATATTTAATGAGTCACACTATGTGCAGTGTGAGCACCAAACCAAATCTGTGTGTGCTCTCATGAGAACCAGACTGAAAAATGTATGTGCCTATACTTGACCTGAAGGGGAATTGGTTGTGCTGCTCTTAAAATCAGCTTTGCTGTAATTAAATTTGCGCACCGACATGGTTGACAGCTGTTAATGCACAATCACCGTTTTAGATCGACTAACTGTAATACTGTATAAGATTTCCATTCGACTGAAAGCATAAATCTGCCAGTGCTAAACTGACATTTCATTTACTGACGTGCTTCACTCGGCAGCGCTAAAACAGACAGCGCATATACTTACTTGTCGGCAAGCCGCCAAAATAAAAGCTTGCTGATTTTAGGTTTGAAAATTATGAAAATTCATATAAAAAAAAGAAAGAAAATGTAAATATTAGCATTGTATTTTTAAGTTTACTACAAAATAATTGTATTTTTAATATTCACTTTTTATTTTAAAATATAATAGTATTGTCACACTCTTTTTTATTATTGCTATTATTTTATTTAAAAATACGAAATAAATAAAGTGCAATAATACTATCGTCACTATTGTTATTTTATTTTTATAGTTATATTTAATGAGTCACACTATGTGCAGTGTGAGCACCAAACCAAATCTGTGTGTGCTCTCATGAGAACCAGACTGAAAAATGTATGTGCCTATACTTGACCTGAAGGGGAATTGGTTGTGCTGCTCTTAAAATCAGCTTTGCTGTAATTAAAATCAATTGCTAGATAGCTCCGCCCACAGTGAAATCTGATTGGTTCCAAAGCTCACTCAACAGATGTTATGGTGTTATATTGCGGAGCGTTTTGTTTTCAGTGTGATAGACAAATTACTTCATGGTGGAAACTTGTGTTGGACCTTGAGTGCGTTTAACCACACCGTAACTAGCTGCTAACCACCATAGTATGACACATTGTTGCAATAATCAGGACTGTTTCTTGAAACCGTTGTAACTTTGTTGAACTTTGTCAAATGTTTGCTGGAACAATTTTGGGATGTTAGGATTACCAAACCACTGAACTATGTTTCTAACAACAGAACTTGCGACTATAGTTGGCCAAGGATGCTTTTGGGAAACACACCATTGGTACATGGTTGTGTGTAGAAACGGGTAACTTTTTTTTTTTTTTAACAACATCCTTAATCATTATATAACAAAATAAAAGGCTTCTGCAAAGAAAGGTTTACTGATAAAATAATCATTGGAGCCACAACTTAGCATTTAGCGCACATGCTCTGACACCTCATTGAGATATTGACTGGTGGTGCTCATTTGGGTTTTTTGGGTTTAAATCTGGCTTGCAACAAATTCAAGTTCCCAATCCTGTTCCCCATTTCCCTGTGCTCTCGTATGAATAGAAAGCGAAAAAAACCCTGACAATTAGGCATCAGTCACTGAAAGTAGTCGCCTGTACTTTCTTGCACTTTTCTCCACTTTTTCATCTCCATTCGTCACAAGGTGTCTCTCGACTGCACAGCTCCACAAAAGTTTGTACAAATTTGCTCGGCGATCTGCCTGCGTAATTGGAGCATTTTTTTTTTGCAGATGTGGAGCAGCAGTGTTTATTCATAGTTGCGTCGAGACATGGTGTTGTGTAGATTAAGCGTTCAGCTTCACTATCGCAGCTCATCCTTTACACGGCGCAATCAGAGGCGCTGATCTGAGCCGGCCCTAATTAGCTGTCAGCTCTAAACTTGCAGTCAGGCACAAACAAGCAAAGCATAGCACAGGGGATCATTGTGTCATTCACAATTTCTCTAGAACAGTGTGGAATTCGCTTCAGTTTGTGACAACTAATGACTGCTGCCTTTCCTGATAGTATAGAAAATCATTGGGGTAACAATGACATAAAAAGAAGGACAAAATAGTTTGGAATTTTATAGAACCATATTATTACTTAAGTCGGGGGAGAAGTAAGACATTCTTATACTAATCCTTAAAGCTAAAAAACACGTCATGTAGTTGAACTTTAATCCAAATTGCCTTAAAGTGAAACTAGTGTGACCTTGGCTCAAGGAAACAATGTCAGGAAGAGCTTTATGGGTTTTCATAAAGTCATCAGAGATTTGATCACATACTGTACCACTAACAATGAACGTTTAATAGAAACTGCACTTCTTGTTATTGTTACCTCTGTGAATCAGATTATTGTTTTCTTACATATAGCCGAATGGGCAGTCCTTGGCACAGGCCACAGCTTTGCACTTCTTGTGACGTGGGCGACACTGGCAAACATCACAGCCGTGAATGTCAGTCTGGAAGCCAAAAGGGCATTTCAGAGTGCAGCTGGCAATTAGACCACTGCACAACTCTTCTCCTGAAGGTTAGAAGAAAACAGAAGAGACTAATTAATTACAGCTTTAGACATTAATTACCTTAATATACATGCTTTAAGATCAACACATAGACAGGGAAGCAAAAACAAGATACATCCAACATACACTAATACATAAAGAAATAATAACATAATATAATATAATATAATATAATATAATATAATATAATATAATATAATACAAGTCATCCATTGCTATTTTTTAATTGTCATATCAATTTAATTAAATACAATTTTAGGTTATGTTTTTAACTGAATGGTTTAATATTCATTTATCTTATCTTATCTTATCTTTTTTATTTTTTTATTTATTTTAGTTTAGTTTGAGAAGCAGCGATTATATTACATACCAATATACTAATATAATATACCAATAAATACCTAAATATATTTTATAATTAAAAAAACAACAACAAAAAAACGTTAACCCTAAAACACAAAGCAATGAAGTGCAAAAAAAAAAAAAAGTAAAATACCTGTAAAAATAAATATGGAAAATTCCTTTATATTAATTCAGTACATTGTGTTTTTTACAGTGTATTATATGTTGTATTATAACATATTATACTATATTTGTATATTCATGTTATATTTATTATTTATTATATTTAGTGTGCAAATAAAAAAAAATATTGAAGAAATTCATACACAGGCACAATTTATGTTTGCCTACAAAACATAAATTTAAGCATATATTTACACTCAGACATAGACTTTCAAATCAAAAGTTTCTGAGAAACAAATTCAGTCAAGTGTGTCCAAACGTTTGACAAGTAGTATATATCTTTAAATAGTATATTTATGATCCACAACTAGGCTTATGGTCCCACCCAAAATAATTAAAATCAGCATTATTATCTTTTTCCTTTGACATTTGTCAGACTTCAATTCACTCAGCCTATCTTAGTATAAAAACAATCCCTTAATCCATCTGCCCTTCAGTGTTTATCCTCATAAACATCTCTGCTAAAGCCAGTCAGTGTCTGGAGAGAACACCGCTAAAGACCACCTGACAGCGTCTGTATGGGGTGAGGAAGATGAAGCACTTCTCCAGCGATGTCACAGCTCACTTACGTGTCTTGCAGCTGCACGTCCTGCAGCCGTTGGAGTCCAGCCGGAAGCCGTACAGGCAGCTCTTTTCCACCAGCGTGCAGTTGTCCAGTGAACCGCAGGCAGGGGGCGCCATCGTGATGTAGGTGGGTTCTAAAAAACAAAAAAATATTCCCCCAGAGGATGTGAGTCACTTTTGACTAAGTCAGACAGTTAAACAGACAGAGAAAGAATACTGGGATCTTAGGGGCTCAAACTGGACTACGCTTATGAGCCATAGGAGGCAAACAATTTTACACATACTTTCTTTAAGTTTCTGTTAAGAGGATAGTTCACACAAACACTAAAATCCTGCCATCACTTTCTCATCCTCATGTTGTTTTGTGGAAGGCAAAATGAGAATTTTTGAAGAATACCTGGCCACTCTTTTCAATGTAATATAACAGTGTTATTTTAGTATTATTTATATACTATTATAATATTTGCTATATTTTTAAATGAGCTTTTATTTTAAGTTTTCGTTTTTATTTTAGTAAGTATTACTCAGGACAGTAGGACATTGCGGTGGATCAGAGGTAAAAAATGATATAAATACGGATCAGTTTCTTGCACAGACCAATCGTTTCGTGTCTTAAGACCTCAATGTATCGTCACGAGCCACAGGGTTTAATTTGGTTTTGTCTGTGTATGTTTTTTTTAATCTCGAAGCCAGGGAGCCCATTGACTGCTATTATAAGATTGATAGACTGCAACGGTTTGAGTTAAAAATCTTCGTTTGTGTTCTACTGAAGAAACAAAGTCACCTACATCTTGGATGCCCTGGGGGTAAGCAGATAAACATCAAATTTTCATTTTTGGGTGAACTATCCCTTTAAGACTGGTTTTGTGGTCCAGGGTCACATTTAGGTTTTAAACTGACAAGTTTCTATTTGATCCGATCGAAAGTTGTACTACGTTCTGATAAAGATGAGAAACAGTCAGATGGACAGACGGAAAGAAAGAGAGGTGGATAGATAAAGTGTCAAGGTCTGAAATGGATAAATGCCTTCATGACTACAAACAGAGTTGATGGCAGCAGTCCAAAAACGAACCATCATCGCAGGAAATTGACTTTTTCACAGCGCAACCAGAATCTATAATTCACCACTCCTGCAAAACCTGAATGCTTGTAGTACATGCTGAAATTACTGATTGAATTGATTGGTTTGTGCCTGTCAAACCACTCATCCAATCAGCTTCCCTCTTGGTTCTTAGTTTTTTTCTTCTTCTCCACATTTAGCTTTGAATGCAGTGCTGTTCTGCAGTAGGGAATCAATTTCATGATGAAGTACATAAGCAAACACGAGTATGCTTTTCAATTTCTCTCGACCAACAACAGATGATCCATTTTAAAGGGGCAAATTGTGCCTGTCAAACCACTCATCCAATCAGCTTCCCTCTTGGTTCTTCTTAGTTTTTTTCTTCTTCTCCACATTTAGCTTTGAATGCAGTGCTGTTCTGCAGTAGGGAATCAATTTCATGATGAAGTACATAAGCAAACACGAGTATGCTTTTCAATTTCTCTCGACCAACAACAGAATTCACTGTCATGTCCTTTACACAAAGATCTTTCAGTGTGTGTTCTCAAAGTGAACTATATGAAGACGGTTTGGCTGTGTATTATGCTAATTAGTAACTGAGGGTGCATGCTTCCTCGGGAATTATTAACATTACAACAAGGATGAAAACAAATGAATGTGCGTGTGCTGCTTGTATGCAATTATTAGTGCAGCAGACCCACTGTGTTTTGTTTATGCTCATTAAGCTGTCTCTGGTGGGCTGACCCCAGACCGCACGGATGGTGGGAGACACTGCAGTGGAGAGAGACAGACTTGTGTCAGAATTTGCAAATGAGTCAAGACACGTACCTCTTTTGATTCGCTTGCATCGCACATGGGGAAGAGAGAGACATGAGCTGTCAGTGGCCAAAAGAGAGTGCCGTCATTGCATTAATAACTAGTTGTTCAGTTCAGTTTAGTATATACTTCTCGGACTGAATGTAAATACAGTTGTCATGGCCTGCATTTTAAGAAGTAAATTTGGTTGTAAAGCTCGACAGTGTCTTTTTTTTTTATTGTATGGAAAATGTAAGTGTAAACAAGCAACTTCTGTTTTTGTGTTTCAAGGAAAGAAAGAAAATCATATGGGATGAACTATCCTTTTAATACATTCAGGACAGCTTTTGGAAATTTTGGTGGTGTTTCCTGCACCATTACTTAATCTACAGCGCCATGGTAAATAAAAATTAGTTGGGTAGTTTTTACCAGAGTTGTGAGTTAAAGTATGAAATAAATGTGAAGAGATAAAAATGTTTGCAATGTACTGCAAAATAAAGCCAAGACATATATTTCTACTACACATTCACTGGCTACAACCAAACCGAACATAAAGCATGACAATATTGTAATCAGATTTACCGACAAATTACATTCTTTTTTTTTTATGACTGAATCACACAGAAAGACTTACAAACACACAAGTTGGATTTTCAGACGTTGAATAAAAATAAAGCTTAAGTTTTGATTTGTGAAACTTAAATCGGTATCATTGCTAGCTGATTGTTCATATGATACTGTGTAGTTGAATGATACACAGCTGCAGGTGTCTTTGTAAAAAAATAATTAAATATTCGATATTGAGCAGCACAACTGTTTTCAACATTGATAATGATAATAAGAAAGTTTTCAGCAGCAAATCACTACTACACATTCACTGGCTACAACCAAAACGAACATAAAGCATGACAATATTGTAATCAGATTTACCGACAAATTACATTCTTTTTTTTTATGACTGAATCACACAGAAAGACTTACAAACACACAAGTTGGATTTTCAGACGTTGAATAAAAATAAAGCTTAAGTTTTGATTTGTGAAACTTAAATCGGTATCATTGCTAGCTGATTGTTCATATGATACTGTGTAGTTGAATGATACACAGCTGCAGGTGTCTTTGTAAAAAAATAATTAAATATTCGATATTGAGCAGCACAACTGTTTTCAACATTGATAATGATAATAAGAAAGTTTTCAGCAGCAAATCAGCATATTAGAATGATTTCTGAAGAATCATGTGACGCTGAAGACTGGAGATTTTAAAATATATTAAAATATAAAATAGTTTTTTTTAAATTGTAATAATATTTCACAATTTTACTGTTTTTACTATGTTTTTGTTCAAATAAATACAGCCCTGCACAACATAAAAGACTTCTTTAAAAAACTAAAAAGTCTTATTCGACTCCAAAATATAAAACGGTAAAGTACCAAAAAATATAAACGATTACATAATTCCAAATAAATGTAGTTTGGACCAGATATGAGGGTTTTGAAATAATTTATTATTATTATTATTATTTTTTGCAGTCTATGCTTCCCAAAAGCCTATATTTTTTTATTAAACCTTATCATAAAGGGCGGCAAATTGTGAGACGTTTGCAACTTCTCTCTCCTCAACTTTTCTCAAATGTAAAGACATATTGTTATTAAATTAAAAATAAGCTCTTAGCAATAAATAAATACAAACCTGAGCCAAATCCTTTTTTCCCCTATTCATTAAAGAGCGCTGTTTCATTAACACTACTGTAACATTTGAAGCCATCTTGGCTTTGGTGCCTTATTTTCTTTCTTCCTATGTGGCCGCACAACCAACAGAGCAGGCTCATATTCAAAGACTTTTAGAAATAAACAAGTGCATTGTATGTGAAAATGAAGGCACATATTTAAATGTGGAATAATTTCGGTGCAAAACGCTAATGGCTGTGGGGTTCGCTCCAAATGTGATGTGCGATCTTTGGGGGTTCAACCAAACCTGACAGCTTTCATTTGCTTAATTACACATGCTGCGTCTGGTACAATAACTTGCCTCTGACAGGGAGAGGGTGTCACCTTGAGGAAATGAGGTCTTCTAACAAATAATAATTAGGAAATAAAAATGCACAGAGTGCAGGGCAGCTGGCAAATGAGCTAAATTAAGCTGTCCTGGGACCGGGGGATAGAGTCAGGGCTGTGTCCAACAGGGCTCAGAGGACAGTTGCAGGACTGAGGCGGGACATGGACACACACCAGCAGCGGTGGGATGGTTTCACTGCCAAAAGACACCACTGGAGTGGACACATCTGTTCACAAAAGAGGACAAACAAACCAGCACCTGTGCTGCGGCTATACTGAATATTTACAATACGTTATACAACAGTTACTTCTGGCCTAATAATTATTCGCATAATATAAAAAATATGTACTTACTAACTGGACAGATTTTGTAGATTCTGAAAAAGGTACTAAATATTAAATGAACCAACACTACAAATATTGAAAAGATTTGAATGACATTAATGATTTGACCATTACATTTTCAAAGCCAGTGCCAGTAGAATAAATGAATAAATGCTCTGTTGTGAAATTTGTTTCATATATATCACGAAGGCTGCATTTGTTTGATCAAAAAATACAGTAAAAGAGTAATACTGTGAAATATTATATACTGTATATATAATTGTATAATATATTTAATACTGTTATTAAAAGAAGTGTCTTTTATAAATTATATAAAGCTTTTTCTTTTTTCTTTTCATTTAAATCAAATATAAATTCATGTCCCAGTCACATTTTCTTGGTTAAATAAACATTACTTACACCTCAGAGGACAGTTGCAGGACTGAGGCGGGACATGGACACACACCAGCAGCGGTGGGATGGTTTCACTGCCAAAAGACACCACTGGAGTGGACACATCTGTTCACAAAAGAGGACAAACAAACCAGCACCTGTGCTGCGGCTATACTGAATATTTACAATACGTTATACAACAGTTACTTCTGGCCTAATAATTATTCGCATAATATAAAAAATATGTACTTACTAACTGGACAGATTTTGTAGATTCTGAAAAAGGTACTAAATATTAAATGAACCAACACTACAAATATTGAAAAGATTTGAATGACATTAATGATTTGACCATTACATTTTCAAAGCCAGTGCCAGTAGAATAAATGAATAAATACTCTGTTGTGAAATTTGTTTCATATATATCATGAAGGCTGCATTTGTTTGATCAAAAAATACAGTAAAAGAGTAATACTGTGAAATATTATATACTGTATATATAATT